ACTCCCATGTCCTGTCAAGACTGCAAGATGTCAGGCTTGTCGTCTCGAGGGTTTCAAAAGCAAAGGCTCCTTCCAAGGCAAAGCCTTGGGGCCTTCGCGGCTGGCCTGGATGCACCTGCGCATGTTGCTACTGCTACTGCAGCGCCAGGCTCAGCAGGACAACGCTGCCAAGTTGCTTGATCTTGTGGCCGTTAACGATCAGCTCGTCTTTCTCGCCGATCTTCACATCGTGCTTGAACTTGCCGTGCACTGAGTCCTCGGAGATTGTCTTCATGTTCGAAAAGGCCTGACTTACCATTACCCACCTTTACCCCAATAAAGCCCTGCACAACTCTATAAACCGGGCAAAACCCCATAAACCATAAGACCCCCGGGCTATAAACAAACAGAACCCCACCACCACCACCAACAACAACAACAACAACCAGCACCACAACAACCACAACCACAACACCAACCACGACGACGACGACGACGACCACACCAGCACCACCACCGCCGCCAATAACAAAAACAACAGCAGCAGCAACAACAACAACAACCACAACAACAACATCAACATCGCCTCGGCTGTTAGGAGACAAAGGGCCGTCCAGCGAAGACAGGTGCGCATGGCAGTTTGTCGAGGCTTTAAGGGCCTGGGTTTAGGGTTCAGGGTTTTAGGGCTTAGGGTTTAGGGTTTAGGGTTTAGGGTTTAGGGTTTTAGGGCTTAGGGTTTAGGGTTTAGGGTTTTAGGGCTTAGGGTTTAGGGTAGTCATCCCGGGCTTCGTAGGCTGGCTTGGGGGCTTAAGGGTTCTTTTCATGGAGTCTCTACCGTACTCAGAGGGGAGTACCTAGACTGTAGGGCTATGGATTCGGTGCAAAGTTCCATCCTCTCCTAAGGCCCTACTCTTTGAGCACTTGGTCCATTCAGGGTATGGTTTGGAGAGTTTTTTGGTAGTTCTCTGAAGTAGGGTTCCCTTTTAGGTACCCAATATAGTACGCAGCACCCCTGTGAAAAGGACCTTCAAAGGGACCCTAGTTTAGACAACTACCCTTATGTCTCGGACATTGTCAGGTGGGTAGTTACCGTTATAGCAGCCTTATAGAAGGTCTATATACCTTATAGAAGCCTTATAGAAGCCCTAGATACCCTAAACTCCCCCTCAACCCTAAACCCTATATACCCTAAACTCCCCACCTGTAGTCTCCATTAACTTATGGCTTCGGACTTCGAGTTGCAAATCGATCGGGACACTTGTCCGGAGGTGTGAGAAACTTCAGGCTGTAACGGTTTAGGGATTTAGGGATTTGGGATTTAGGGATTTAGGGTGTAGGGATTTAGGGTTTTAGGGTTTAGGGATTTTTTGAGTGTGTGTTTTAACTGCAATGCCCTCTCTCCGATCGCATGCTCGGTTGTAAGGCCCGGCTGAGGGTTTATGGGGCCGAAGGTTTCCCCCAAGGTTTGGACCCTAAACCCTCGGGGAACCCTAAACCCTACTTGGAGGGTCGGGGGACTTGGTAAGCTGTTATTTTGCAGAGTTTAAGTACCATAACCCCAAAAAGCATCCCTTTTGGGGTACTTATAGCTGAACTTCTTGCCTACTTTCGAAGTCTCCCGACCCTCCAAGTAAACCCTAAACCCTAGACCGTAGACTGAGTCTGGATGTTCACCCGCGCCTGTTTTGCAAGCACCAGAATACCAGGATTCCTACTTTTATCTTGGAAGGGCTAGGCCGTGAGCAACGTAGGGGCCCTAATAATTAGAACAGGGTTTTGGCACGTTTTATAGTATACTTGTAATGAGGAACCTAAGGAATAATGTTGGTAATTTGTTTAGCTTCTATGCGAACCAGATTGTTTACACTATGCTTGATCTCGACCCTGCTTATACAAGCCCATCCCAAGGGTCCTAAGTACTCATATGGCAGGTACTTACCCAAACCATAATGGCAAATCCTACTGTAGGAACCCGACTTTCTACTATATAGGTCCTTATGTAATGTAGGGACCTTAAAAATTAGAATCGGGTTTTGGAACCCTAAACCCTGAACCCTAAACTCTAAACCCTAAACCCTAAACTCTAAACGCTAAACCCTAAAAACTCTGAACCCTAAACCCTAAACTCTAAACTTACCCTACACTCTAGAATACTCAGGATCCTCTAAGAAACCTCTCTGGTCCGCAACTACGGCGAGAGCTGTCACGGCTCGGAGACGGAAATGGTGAGGTGCACGGCAACGATTCGGATGCTTGGGTCGAGGGCTTTAGGGCTTCAGGGCTTTAGGGGTCTAGGGTTTATGGGGTTGAGGGCTCTAGGGGTTTAGTGGTCTAGGGTTTACAGGGTTTAGGGCTTTAGGGCTTTAGAGGTCTAGGGTTTATAAGATTTATAGGGTTTAGGGGTTTAGGGTTCAGCCCTAAACCCTAAACCCTAAATTGGGGCTCTGTGGCTTCGGGCTTCAGGCGTTGACTAGCAGCAAAAGGCTAGGTCTTTGCGAGTCCGGGGTTTGGGCTTTGCGAAACCTGGGTGTGGTGGCGGTGGTGGTAGCAGAAAGAGCAGTAGCAGTAGCAGTAGCAG